GCTGGTTCACACTGCATTCGGGTTGACTCAGAGTTTGGATTTATTCTTGGGGAATCCTCAGGTGTTTTGCGGCATTATGGTAAGTGAAGGAATCACAGTGTGTGAGGAGGAACTGGATCTGGCCAAGCTGAAGCCAGTGATGGTGACAAAGGTGTACTCAGCCAAGGAGGCCTGCCTCACTGGAGAAGGGGCTGGGAGCTGTTTGTGAGGCAGATGTGCCATGATGATAATAAAGTTGTTATTATTATTAATGTGTATGAGTGTTTTGCTTGCACAGATGTCACATGGGTGCCTGGTGCCCATAGAAGCCAGAGGAGGGCACTTGTAGCTGGAGTTTCTGTCATACCTGGTCCCGAAGCTGTGTAGCCCCAAATAAACACACAGGCGCTATATTAATTATTAAACTGTTTGGCCGATGGCTTAGGCTTCTTACTGGCTATCTCTCATTTATTAACCCATTTCTATTAATCTGTGTATTGCCACGAGGCTATGGCTTATCCGTAATCCGGCATGTTACTCTTTTGGCAGCGTGCTTCTCTTGGGATCCTCTCCCCAGCACTCCCTTCCTCTGGTAGCCCCGCTTGTACTTTCTCCCTGGCTACCGGCCAATGAGTATTGTATTCATCATCCAATAAGAGAAAAATATACAGAAGGACATCCCCTATCAGGCATCAGATCCCCTAGGAATAGCAAACACTGCTCTTAACCATGATCAGTCTCTCCAGCCCCTTTCCCCCGATTGCCATGTTCTTTTGCTAGTGCTTTTATTTTATTATGATTATTATTTTGAGACAGTCTCACAATGTAGCCCTGGCTGACCCGAACTTGGTATTGTTGTGTACACCAGCTGGCCTCAAACTCACAGGTATCCTCTTGCCTGTGCCTGCCTAGTCCTGGGAATAAAAGTATATGACAACATGCCCATCTTCCTGCTGGTTTTAAAGACTGCAACCTAAAATTAACTAAAACTGATGAGCCAGCATTCAGTTTTCACCGACTGGTGTAGGATGGATCACAGGGCTCAAGTTTGGGCTTACAGTTTTCAAGTGTCTTTGGGTTTAAGTTAAAGTATATCATTATCAAACAGAAAATAATAGATTTGGGGTCAGCAAGAAGTCTCAGTGGGTAAAGAATTTGATTCCTGGAACCCACATAGTAGAAAGAACTGGTTCCCACAAGTTTTCCTCTACCTTCCAAACTCTCTTCATGGTACATACATGGATACAAACCTACACTTGTTCACTTAGTCTCTCTTTCTCTCTCACACACACAGAAAGAGAGACAGAGAAAGTAAAAAATAAATAAATATACACTTTTATTTGTTTTTGTTTTTTGAGACAGAGCTTCTCTGTGTAGCTCTGGCTGTCTTAGAACTCTGAAGACCTTGAGTTCTGGCTAGCCTCGAAATCAAGAGATCCACCTGCCTCTACCTCCTAAATGCTGGAATTAAATGAATGCACACATTTTTAATGAAGAATATTGGATTCTATAAAGTAATTTTTAGCTTTTTTTTTTTTTTGAGACAGGCTTTATCTGTGTAGCCCTAGCTATCCTGGAACTCACTCTGTAGACCAGATTGGCCTTAAACTCACAGATCTACCTGCATCTACCTCCCAAGTGCTGGGATTAAAGGTGTATGCACACACACCACCTGGCAAGATTTTGTAAGTAATTTTATAAGACTTATTTTTATTTTATGTGTTTCAGTATTTTGCCTGTATGTGCATGCAGGCAAAATACCCATACAAGTAAAATAGAATTTTAAAAAATCATTAAGCCACCAAGATTATATTTTATTCTAAATATTAAGTGGCTGTGTCATAGTTTCATTTCTGTTGCTGTGATAAACCATTCTGCCAAATGCAATGTAAGGGAGAAAGGGTTTACTTAGCTCAGAATTCTAGATGACCATCACTACAGGAAGTCAAGGCAGCGGAAACTTTCAGCAGCCGTCACATTACATCTGCAGTCAAGAGCAAAGAGCCTCGAGTTCATGCATGCTTGCTTATTCTCAGCCTCCCTTTTCTACTCTTACATAATCCGTGATTCCCTAACGAGAGAATGGCACCACCCACTGTGGGTACACTAACCCCAAACATGTCTGCAGGTCAATTTAATCTACAAGTTCTTTGCTGAGATTCCCTTCCCAGATGATTCTAGACCATGTCAAATTGATAATTAAAATTAACCATCAAGAAAAATTCATTATATCCCAAAAGGTTTTATGGGTATCCCATTTTATAGCCAGTCTTCTGTTGTGCAGATATACTACATAACATCCATATACATAAAATAAGTAGTTTTTAAAAATTAAACCACCCAGACTTGTGGTTAGCATTTATACTAAATAGGGACCCATCTTGGAAGTTAGCCTTCCACCTCTGTGATCTGACATTATCTTCAGGTGGATGTGTCACCACTGAGTCGCTGCTTGTTTGGCATGTAGATAAAGGCACCTATATATAGCTGGAGTCAAACTGGTCTGAGTCAGAAGACTGCAGTAGGAAAAGATAAGTTTGAATCTGAGTGCATTTTTCTGTACAGTCATCAAAGTTTAAAACTTAAAGTCAGGCACAAACAAGGCAAGAATAACGGGAAAATAGTTATTTTATAGATGAGCAGAGACCGAGTGTCTTGGCTCAAAGGGAGCAGGAATGTTAGTCACAGAGCAAACACATCAGTCACTGTGAAAACAGAAGTAGATGACAGCCATCAAGCAGCACTTTGAGGCCCAAACCCTGCCTGCCCTCCTGTGGCTCTGTCAGTTTCAACCCAAGCTTTCCAAGAACTTGGAGGGAGATTTTGGGAGCTTGACCCAGAAGCAGCCACTTTACTCACTGACTAGAACATTACCATGGCTAATGTGAGGGAAACTGGAAAGGACAACCTAGTCATGGGTCTGGGAAGAAGAAAGGTGTTGACCATTATTTAACAGCCTGTGCAAAATGTGTCCTCCAGAAGAACATGACTGCCCGTTAGAGATGAAGCAAGTGTATATGGGAAATTAAGATAGAAGTAGTAAAATCTGACAAGTTAATCATTGATGTTCTCAGTGGCAGGTGGTCCAGGTCCATCATCACTTCTTGCTTTAAGACAATCTCCTCAGCAGAGATATTACCACCAACACACACACACACAGCATATTTGTCCTCAGCTGGAGATATTTTTGGTTGTCAACTCAGTGACCAGTGTTTCTGGCATTTAGCAGGTGTAGAAAGCAAGGTTGTTGCCAAATATTTTGCACTGTACTATAAGAGGGCTGCCTAAGCCCGTGTCAGTGACAGCTTAAGCCATAGTTTCTAGAAAGAATAAAGGTAAATGGAAAGTTCAGTGCTGTGCTTTCCATTGAAGAGTAAGGGAAGGATGATGGGGCCCAATACAGAATGTTTCTGGGGCTGGAGAGATGATGGCTCAGCCATTAAGAGCTCACACTGCTCTTACAAAGGATCCAAGCTTGGTTGCCAATACTCATCTTGGGTGACTCACAATCACCTATAACTCCACCTCCTGGGAACTTAGTGCCCTCTCCTGGCCTCCAATAGGCATAGCATGCACATGCACAATCACACAAGAATACAGACATACTTTAAATGTTTTTGTTTGCTTCTCTTTTCGGTTTTTTGAGACAGGGTTTCTCTGTAGCTTTGGAGCCTGTCCTGGAACTAGCTCTGTAGACCAGGCTCACCTCGAACTCACAGAGATCCACCTGCCTCTGCCTCCCAAGTGCTGGGATTAAAGGCATGGGCCACCAACACTGGCCCTTTTTTTTTTTTTTTTTTTTTTAAGAATGTTTTATACAATAATTGACATCATATCTTTAAATTTTTTTAACATTTGTTTCACATACTGACCATAGTCTCCCTTCCCTCCTCTCCTCCTGTCCTCTCCCCACCTCTCTTCTTACGACCCCCTCCCAATCCACTCCTCCATGTCTCCATTCATAAAAGTCAACAAAGCATGGAACATCAAAGTTGAGGCAAACTCAGCATGGGGAATGGGTTCCCAAAAGCTACCTATGTGCCAGGAACAAGTCTTGATCCACTGCTAGTAACCCCACAAACAGACCAAGCTACACAACTGTCACACACACAGAGGGCCTTGGGGTTAACCCCCATGCAGGCTCCCTTGGTCCAGAGTTGGTGAGCTCCCATGAGCTCAGGTCAGCTGTCTCTGTGGGTTCCCCTGTCATGACCTTGACACCCCCCCCCCAATGCACGGCTGTGGGTCTATGCATCTGCTTCCATCAGTTACTGGATGAAGGCTCTCGGATGTCAATTAGGGAAGTCATCAATCTGATTACAGGAGAAGGCCGGTTCAAACACCCTCTCCACTGACATCTTATTGGAATACAAAATGATAACACCTAAAGACAATTTTTAATATTTCAGGACAGAGCCCCCACATAAAGTCCAACCTGCTCTCAGGAAGCCTTCAGAGCCTGTGGCGGGCAGTCACTGGCCCACTTTTTGATTTCCAAGGAGACCCAGCTCAGCAAGGTGGAACATTCATTCTAGGTCCAGGTGAGCATCAAGAACAGGGTATGTTTCCTTACCTGCTACAGTCTAAGCCACCCACTTTTCTTACGTGATAGACACTGAAAATGAGAGGCCTGGCTAATGAGGTGGCATGCTTTGGTAAGGAGCATCTTTCATTCTCAGAGGCTTCTGTGTGTTGGTGTCTGTGGCGATGAGTGTCCTCATCACTCAGGATGATGGCAGGGGTTTGGGACTCAGAAAGTAAGCTGTGAGATGCTGATTAATACGACCGTTACACTCTTTGCAAAGTTTGGCAGGGATTTATGAGCACTGGCTGCTCTTGCAGGGGACCTAATCCAACACCTGTGTCAGGTGACTCACAACCACTTGTAATGTTAGCTCCAGGGGATTTGACTCCCTCTTCTGGCCTCCTTGAACACCTACACTCATGTATAACCTCTACCCCCCCCCACACACACACACATACAAGTACACATAATTAAAAATAAATCTTAAAGAGGTTCAGTGCTCACTTTGGCAGCACATATTCTAAAATTGGAACAATAGAAAGAAGATTAGCATGGCCCCTGCAGAAAGGATGCATCCAAATTTGCAAAGTAACCTATATTTTTCCTTGGGCACTCAGATCTGGAAACTTCCCATGAAGGAAATGGGGGGTCCAGGTGTGCACAGTGATACCAGGCTCAACAAAGCCACCTGCGCGTCACAGAAATAGGAGTGGTCCAGAGTGAGTCCCTGTATATTTGTCAAGAAGATGTAATGAGGGTGAAGATTCACCACACAAGCTCTACACTTTGGTAACCTGTGTCCTTATTTACCACCAAAAAAAGAAAGAAAGAAAGAAAGAAAAAAAACTACATACAGAAAAACAGACAAAAAAAACTGGGTGGCCAGAATGAGTTTCAGGACAGCCAAGGCCCTACAGGCAGTTAATGAAAATATGTAATAAAGTTACAGGACTGCCAGCATATAAGTTCAATAGGCCCAGCCACATAGCTCTCCAGGTAAAAGACACTTGCTGTTCAAGCTTGGAGAGCTGAATTCCTTTTGTAAATGAAAGAATCTTTGTTTTTACTAACTAAACTAGGAGATGCACACAGTGTTGGAAAGCAAGCCAGTACCAGGGTTAGCCCATTCTGAAGTGAGAACTACCCTAAGACACAGGCTTCAACAACTGCACTATTGTGTCTGGGCCATAGATGCCTCTGGCTTCACCCTGGTCAGTGTGGGGAGCTGGCTTTCTCCACATCCAAGTTCTATAATAACAGACCAGAAAGTCACTGTGGCATGGATAGATTTTTTCTTCATTCTTCTGCCTCTTTAAAATTGTACCTGCCAGTGAATTATTACTAATATTTCTGCAAATACCAGACTGTTGAAAGGACTGCTTTTGACTGAGTTTTTTTGTTTTTGTTTGTTTGTTTGTTTGTTTCTTGTTTTTTGTTTTTTTTTCATCAGGCACACTTATACCCATCTCTCACAAATTTAGATCAAATTAAAAAAAAAAAATTGCCTGGGTGGGGCGGTGGTGGTGCACGCCTTTGATCCCAGTGCTCCGGAGGCAGAGGCAGGTGGATCTCTTGAGTTTGATGCCAGCCTGAACTATAGAGTGAATTCCAAGACAGCCAAGACTGTTACACAGAGAAACCCTATCTGGAAGGGGGAGAAAAAGCCCTTTGGGGATGGAGTTATAATTCAGTGGCAGGTGGATTGCTTCCTGGACTCAGCACTAATAAATAAATGAGCCCATTTGAATCCTATAAATTTACCCAGAATGCTACTGAACCACTGGGAAGCTTGTTTTGGTGCTTGTTTTTGAGTTCACTAGGGCAAGGCTACACCCTCAGCTTAGAACTCTGTCCTTTTCCTTTCTGCCCCTTCCTTCCTCCTCTCTCTCTCTCTCTTTCTCTCTCTCTTTCTCTCTCTCTCTCTGTCTCTCTCTCTCCCTCCCTCCCCCTCTCCCCCTCTCCCCCCTCTCCTCCTTTCTCCCATCTCCTGTCTCCGAGATGGGGTCTCCCTATGTATTTCTGTCAACTCACTATGTAGACCAGGCTGACCTCAAACTCTCAGAGATTCACCTGTCTCTGCCTTTTTAAAATAGATTTTGTTTTGAGACAAGTTCTCACTGCGCAGTCCTAGTTGACCTAGATCTGGCTTTGCAAAGCAGGCTGGCCTCAGACCCACAGATCTGCCTGTCTTCGCCTCCTGGGTACTGGGATTAATAGATCATTTTGCATTTCTTTTCTTTATTTAGTATGTGTATGTGTGAGCATGCATGCATAGGGAGCAGGACACATGTGCCTTGGTACATGTTAAAGTCAGAGGACAACTTGAAGAGTCTGTTCTCTCCTTCTATGATGTGAGTCCTGGGGATCAAACTCAGGTTGTCAGGCTTGGTGCCTTTACCCTGAGCTATCTCACTGGCCCATATTTTTCTTTATGGCGTTGGGTATTTCACCTAGGGCGTGTGCACTGTGCAGGTGCTCCTATCACTGAGCTACACCCCGGTCTTCTGGAGCCATATTCTTGAATAACTAATTTGCATCCTCAGATGTAGAAGGGGTTTTTTGTAACGAGTACTGTTTTTCTGCCTGCCGCCTCTGGTCTTGTCATGCTGCCGCACCAGCCCCAAATAACACACAGAAACTCTGTATTTGATTTAATGTTGTTGGCCCTGTTACTTGTTTCTTATCGGCTAGCTCTGCCTTAATTATTAACCCATTTCTGCTGATCTATGTATTTCTCTTACCGGGGAGCTGGCGGCATACTGCTTTCTTTAGACTCTCCATCTTGACTCCTTACTACTTTCTATTTCCTCCTTGTCTCCTAGTCCCTCCTATCTTCCTTTTCTATTGGCCAACAGTGCTTTATTATTAACCAGTATGAGAAACATACAGAATGACCTCTCCCATCAGTTTTTACCCCATCCCTCATCTCATGTCACTGAGTCATGTGGCCATTGTCTTAGTTAGGGTTTCTATTGCCGTAGAGATACAACCACAGCAACTTTTTCTTTTTTTTCTTTTTTTTTTTTCTTTTTTCTTTCTTTCTGAAACAGGGTTTTCTTTGTAACAGCCCTGGCTATCCTGGAACTCATTCTGTCGACCAAGCTGGCCTCAAAACTCACAGAGATCCTCCTGCCTCTGCCTCTCGAGTGCTGGGATTAAAAGTGTGCACCTCTACTGCCTGGCTCACCATGGCAACTCTTAAATAGGAAAACATTTAATTGGGACTGGCTTACAGTTCAGAGGTTTAGTCCATTATTGTCACGGCAGGAAGCATGTTGGCATCAGGCAGACATGGTGCTGGAGAGACAGCTGAGAGTCCTATATCTGGTTTGGCAGCCAGCAAGAAGAGAGAGAGCAACTGGCTAACTTGAGCTTCTGAAACCTCAAAGCCCACCCCTGTCGATATAGTTCTTCCAGTAATACCACACCTACTCCAACAAGGCCTAATGCTTTCAAATAATGCCAATCCCTATAAACCACAACATAGCCATATCTTCAGGGGATGAAGAATTAAACCTTTTACTATAGGTATACCAAAAACATGTACTTTGATCTAATGTTTCAAGTTAAATTCTGGTTTTGGCTATATGGTGACATACACCTTTAATCCCAGCACTTTGGAGGCAGAGGCAGGAGGATCTCTGTGAGTTCAAGGCCAGCCTGGTCTACATAGTGAGTTCCAGGTCAGCCAGTGCTACCTGGAACTCAAAACAAACAAAAATTCTGGTTTTGAATTCAAGATGGAACTAACAGGACTAAGACAACTAATTATAACTTAATTGAGTGAATAGGATTGTGGGTGTTTAAATGTACTGTAGCTAGTTAGCTTACTGCCTTGTCTTCCAGCCTCTTAGGTTAATTATAAAACATCCTACGAAATCAATGTTTTTCCTTTTTTTTTTTTTTTTTTTTTTTTTTTACTTTGGCAGTCCTGGGGATGACCCAGATCCTCAGGAGTACTGCACCCCCTAGCCCCAGGAGTGAATTTTTTGAAGCAAATGATTTACAGTACATGTGCTTAGGAAATAGATGTAATTTCCCAGCTGATACCTATGTTAGTCCCAGATTCTGCCTGTCTGATTGGATGTTTTATTTAATTATACTTGATGGAACTGAATAGAAGGGTATAATTTAGGATGCTGTCCCCTCGGAGCTCATAATGTATTAAGTAACACTCTTATTCAACCATTGCCTTGTCATGGTTAATTGCCATGATGCAGAATTATGGCGGCATCACATAGGGAATATAATGGACTCCAGGTAATTAATTTTTCCCTTCGTACTAATTAGGAGTTGAAATGCGTACTTGACCCTCATAAGCAGTAAATCTAAAGACTAGTGCATCATTTGCCCTCAGCATCTTTGTCCTTGCTCTCTTCTAGGTAACAACATCCACTTTGTGCACCGAGACAGGAATAGGTTGGATCACAAACCCATAAACTCTGTTTTACAGCTTGTGGGAGTTCAGCCTGTGAATTTCATGAGCAGACCTACAGTTATCCATGTGTGACTTCACGTGGGATCTTCCATTTGTGTGAATGGGCCCTTGAAATGTGAACCAAAAGGCCAGGCATCATGGCTTCATGAGGTTATAGAAGCACAAAGCTCATGTGCCTATAGAACTATATGCTGAAAGACATCAGTTGTCAGAAATGGAATAGGCATTTTCAATTTTATGGCCTCTATAATTAATTATCCATTCAATATAAGGTCTTTGGCAACTAAAATATAAGAAGGGGGCTGGAAAGATCACTCAGTGGTTAAGAGCACTTGCTTCTCTTTTAGGAGACTCAGGTTTGGTTCCCAATACCCACATGGTGGCTCACAATTATCTATAACTCCAATTGCAAGGGATCCAACATCTTCTGGCCTTTGGGCACCAGATTCACATATGGTGAACATGCATAAATGTAGCAAGCACTCTCATACACATAAAATAAGAATAAAATCTAAAACTACATATACATGTTCATGTACATATATGTCTGTATATATATGAAAGGAAGTGAAGAATGGGCCAGGTATGATGGCATGTAGTCCTAACTCTGAGAAATGAGTACAAGAGTCCAGCTGAGTTATATGGGGAAGAGCCTTCCTCAGAAAAATAGTTAATGGAAGGGGTAAATGCACAAAGGGAAAGGAAAGCAACTCAAGACAGTTTTATTTAGTAGGGGGGAAAAAACCAGATTTTCAAATTCTGTAAATAGTATAACCACATGTATGCTTTAATTTTTTTGTGTTCTTAGAGAAAAGATGGTAAATAAACATAGTACAACACTGCCAGTAGGCATGTGTGTGTGTGGTGAGGGTATAGGTATTTTTGCTTGCTTCCCAAGTTCTGTATTTCCTGTGTTTTTTATAAGTTCAGCTGACTTGGGGGACGGGTAGGAAGTATTTAGACACGGAAAGGCAAATGCCCTGCCCACATAAATCTCCATGGGGGTGCAGGTGAGAAGTCATTGGTTGATGAAAACAAGACCTCTGAGATAGCAGAGGGCCTGGTCAGCACCCACCAACCACCTATTGCACTAAGGTTGTTTGGGTAGAATTAAGTGGGTTGAGGGAAATACTTGATTTGATTTGGTTTAGGGGATGTTCTTGGG